CTTTATTAACCCTCTAGTTAAAGAAAATTCTATTCCAAGTGCACCACACATGAAGTTGTTAACATGATGTAAATGTTAAACAAATCACTTGTTAAATATATTTGCAGAAAAGATGCATGAACTACAACTACATCCTGTACAAATTTGTCTTATACAAGTTATATGTTTAGAAATAGGCTACAATGAAAATGCTTCAAAATATACCAATGTAATATAAAATACCAAAATATAACAATGTAATTCAAATTCAAAATGACTGACTTTATAGGCTACATAGAATCCAAAAATTGTACATTTTTAAACTGCACACTTGTAAATATATCTGTACATTCATTTAAACAGTTACATTTCTCTATATTTCTACTTCTGTATATAGTGCATTATTTAATTTTCTGTTTTGTTATATAAGTGTTATACTCCATCTCTACTGTGTAATTCCAATGTCTGCTGAACTAGTTTGCAATATGTCCACATACTTTCGTCTGCACTGGAAGCTCCTGTCACTAAGTCAAAAACCTTGTCTGTGTAAACATACTTGGTAATAAAGCTCTTTCTGACTTCTGAAGGTATAACACCAGTAGACCATTAACAATAAATGTTCTGTGAAAACAATGAACAGCAGCTTTCAGCCTGTCACCAATGATACAAACATGAAATAGGGACATACAGTAGTAGTTCTTTACAGGTTTTTATTCGATTGTGCTGCTTTTCCATTGTTTTTTCTATGTAAACATGGACCCTTTTGACTGTTGCGCTCTCGTCTCTTGAAGCAACTCATGCATGAAACAGCATTTTAAAAACACGGCGCTCAAGTTAAAAGAAGTTCACTCCCATCTTCTTGCATGTTTTACCTATTCCACTGCCCGCGTCTCATCTTTGTCAACACAAAAGTGCATTCTGTGTGAACTGCGCCTCGCAATATGAGCGTGTCACACGTGAGCGGTTAATCATGTGTGCCGACATGCGGTTGGATCGTTCTTTTCTCTTTACTGTTATCATTGGCATATTGTCAAAGTGTCTAATTCTGACGTTTGGTAATATTTCTATTCAAAATCGCGATTCCTCGATTTCTAAAAAATAAAATTGTGGCAAAACATTACATTCAAATTAATCGATAAAATCGGCCTGCCCTAGACCCGCGGGCCAAAGTTGGCCCGTGGTGACCTTTAATTTGACCCACCATGCCATATACGAGAAGATGGGACAAAATGCCGTTGATGCTAGGCCTGTCGCGATAATTGATAATGCCGCTGCCTCTGACATCTGGTCTGCTCTATATCTGTGTCTGAGGCAGGGCACACACACACACACACACACACACACAGAGACAGGGCAGACTGAGACAGGCGACCTGAGTGTGTGCGAACCTGCGTCTGTCCTTCAGGTCAAGTCATATTTTTGTGACGGTTTGCAATGAAATCTATATCTTTGTCGTAGTATCCTTTCAACATTTAAAGGGATTTCCCAATCTCTATGAAATGAAATCAGCTTCAGCGTTACCCAGGTGACACTTTGATCGTCTATTGAGCCTTATAAAGTGCCACTCAAAGTTAAATTAATTTCAGCAACACAGACTGGTTTAATGAGGACTACTCATAAAGATAGTTCCTTGCCGCCACCTACTGCCGTAAAAATGTAACGACATTTCCTGATGAAATTCCTGTGCAAACAAGCACAAGTGATATTGTCTCTGTTTGCCAGTACCTACCACTGTGAGAAGACTTTCAGTCTGACAAACCTGAACAAGTATAAAATGAGAAGCAAATTAACTGACTCTCACCTACATAATATCCTGACTTTGTCAGTTAAGTCAGCTACAGCCCAATTTGGAAAACATTTGAAAAATAAGGACCGGCTTCATGTCTCTCATTAGAGGTCACTGATTTTGCAAGCATATGGCTGTGTTGCTTTTATCTTGAATAGCTGTATTGGGTATTGAACTCTGTTGTACTATAAATTGGAGTGTTTCTGTGTTTTCATTGTACCATAAGTTTAATTGAACTATCAAACTTTGAAAATAAAACCGCATTAGTTAAGAAGATTACAGAGTAATGTTTTCATTTTATTAATTAATTTTTTTAATATTATGAACTCATAGATGATGGGAACCATGAAAACTTTAATTTTGATTGAATACAGTTTGGTATAATGCAGTGTTTATTTTCGGCCCATGGCCCTCAATCAAGTTTGATTTTTGGCCTTTCGTAGGAAAACGTTTGGCCACCTCTGGCATAGAACATACCTGTCTGAGTGCCATAAATATAGTTTTTCTAAAGTTGTCATGCCTGTAACTAAAAGTTTTCAAGATATTTGAATATCCTTTGGTTGAGTTGACATGGAATGACCCATCTGCCTTTTTTTCTTTGTTCCCAAAAATCTTTTCTTTTTACTGTAAATTGGCTTCTAATCTCAGGTGAAAATGTTCTTTTTTTTTTTTTTGTCTAAGAACCAGAGGCGTTTTCCCTGCTACAGCTTCATTTAATCTTCCGTCCTAAAAACACGATCAACCGCACCGCTCCCGCTCTGACATGAGCAACAGATCTTACCCTGTTTAGAGGAGTCTGGCTGTGAGTCATCAGCAAAAGATATTTTCAAGGCATTTTTGCTCAAAAGCACTTTGTAGGATGGCAGAGTTGTAGCCAGACAGTATCGCCGAAATTATGATGACACAGTACTGCTGTATAAAAAATTGATTGGTGCACATTTGACATTGACTCCTCTAATAATCTGCACTGTTGGAAAGGTGAAGTCGGTCTTTCTGTCTCTATGCAGATATGTTCATAAAGTGTCTAAATGGACTTGAGTATTCAAGAGATGCTTTTATCCAAAGCAGCTTATATTATTATTGCAGACACAAACCACCTTTTGGGGGAAGAAAATTGTCATCACTTACTCAACCTCATGACAAAAACATGTTGTTCAGTCATATTGTAACCTATCATGAAGGATAGGCTCGTCTTTGCTTTGAATGTGGCCATCTGCAGCAGTAGTTGTTGTTAAACTGCAGCTGTTGGAAAAGGTTGTCTCGACTCAAAATCTGAACTTTATGATGAGGCCAAACAAACCCCAGTGCATCATTTCTATTCGGACAGTTAGTGAGTAAACACATTCAGGTGTGTTGTTCATTGGGTATTTATTCTGTCTCAGATGTGTGTTCTCTCTCTCTCACTCTCTGTGTGTGTGTGTGTGTGTGTGTGTGTGTGTGTGTGTGTGTCAGTTCCTCTCTGCTGAGTTTGTGGACAGATTTTATCCCTTCAGTCAAGAGTCTGTAGCGTTAGTTAGGCTGCAGGGGTGAAATCTCACTAAACCCATCAAGAAGACCAAGTCTGGATCATATTTCACCTCAAAATGAAAAAAGAATATTGATTTGAGTAAAGAAAATGATGCATGTTTTAGAAACATAGGGTTTTTATTTATTTATTTTATTACATTGTGTCAGTTTGAAATATATCATTGAAAATCTTCACGTTTGCCCCAACAAATTCTCATTGGGGTGATTCAAATTCTTATTGAATCACCCCGTTGAAAAAGTATCACTATTGTAAAGTAAGTAAATACAGGTGCATCTGTGTTTTCTGAAGTCCACAGTCAACGCAGCCATCTACCAGGAAAGTTTAGAGCACTTCATGCTTCCTTCTGCTGACAAGCTTCATGGAGATGCTGATTTAATTTTCCAGCAGGACTTGGCACCTGCCCACACTGCCAAAAGCACCAAAAGCTGGTTTAATGACCATGGTGTTACTGTGCTTGATTGGCCTGCAAACTCGCCTGACCTGAACCCCATAGAGAATCTATGGGGTATTGTCAAGAGGAAGATGAGAGACACCAGACCCAACAATGCAGATGACCTGAAGGTCGCTATCAAAGCAACCTGGGCTTCCATACCACCTCAGCAGTGCCACAGGCTGATTGTCTCCATGCCACACCGCATTGATGCAGTAATTCATGCAAAAGGAGGCCCAACCAAGTATTGAGTACATGTACAGTAAATGAACATACTTTCCAGAAGGCCAACAATTCACTAAAAATGTTTTTTTTATTGGTCTTATGAAGTATTCTAATTTGTTGAGATAGTGAATTGGTGGGTTTTTGTTAAATGTGAGCCAAAATCATCACAATTAAAAGAACCAAAGACTTAAACTACTTCAGTCTGTGTGCATTGAATTTATTTAATACACAAGTTTCACAATTTGAGATGAATTACTGAAATAAATGAACTTTTCCACGACATTCTAATTTATTGAGATGCACTTGTATACACTACTGTTCAAAAGTTTTGGGGTTGGTAAAATATTTGTTTTTGAATGAAGTCTCTTATTCTCACCAGGGCTGCATTTGTGTGATTAGAAATACAGTAAAAATTTAATATTGTGAAATATTACAATTTGAAATAGTTTTCTCCAGTCTTCAGCGATCCTTCAGAAATCATTCTAATATGTGGATTTGGTGCACAAGAAGCATTTCTTACCAATGCTGAAAACATTTCTGCTTCGTAATATTTTGTGGAAACCTTACATTTTTTTATTTTATTTTCTCTAAAAACATCTTACAAGCAATTTATGAACAGTAATACACATTATTATTATTATTATAATTGTAAATTACATGTATGTTATTAAATTATTTAGATTTGTTAAAATGTATGGTATGTAAGTGTCATTGTAGTATTTGTCTATTGAATATAATTAAACTTTAATTATGCAGAACATTTTTACATTTAGATTTGAGATTTTTTAAGAAAAATAAATAAATCTTAATGGTCCGGAATAGGCTACACTTCCATTATTTAATTGTGTAATTATAATTGTTTTTGTTGTTTTTTCACACTGAATCAAAATGTAAAAAAGCCTCTGGCATATTTTTGTGTGATTTACCCCCAGTTTTTTTTTTTTTTTTTTTATTCCCTTGAGCTGACTTGATTCTTTTTGTTCACCTGTGTGCTTTGCCTTGTCTCCCTTGTTGTTCATAATTTATTTCTCTCCTCTGTATGTCTCTTTTAGGTTTTTAAGGTGAAGGCTGTCCAGCTGGCAGAAAAGCTGCTTCCTGCCTTCAACACCCCAACAGGCATCCCTTGGGCCATGGTCAATTTGAAGAGGTATGTTCCATACACAACTTCTCTTTCATGCCTTCGTCCTTTCAATTTTTTTTCTCTCTCTTTGCCTCTTTTTCCCATGCTGCCTGTCCTCCACTCATTGTCCTGATGGGGGCTGCCACATAATGGAAAGCTGTTAGACTTTGTGCATCTATGAAAGTCCCTGTGGCTTTCTTCCTGTTTAACTCGACTTTCCAAATAATTTCATTAGAATGAAATGAAAATGGCACAATTAATCTGCATAGTGCATTGTGAATGTACATTAAGGGTTTTTTGTGTTTGAGGAGGGAGGAGGGTCAAATCCAGCCTGACACAGCTTTTGTGAATTAATTAGGTGTTTAGATGAAATTGCTGAGGGAAAAAAACGACGCTGTTTTTTTAATCCCCATGCATGTAGAGCAGCCTCTCACGGTCTGCACACACACACACTAAGTGAATGCTGTGGATACATTCTGCATGGAAATGAGAAGTACAAGTAGAGCATAGAATATTGGACTTGACAGAGGAATGATGGGAATAATGGACGGTAGTGAATCTGTTTGGAGCGGGAATGAAGCAGTTTGACTTAAATGAGCTTGCTGTAATTCCTCATTGTCTACACGCTGCAAATGTATAAAGGTGGATGTTTGCTTTAGGCTAGCAAGGAACATACTATATGCAAATGTCGTGGGTGTTTTCTTATGTCTGTTTCAGTGGAGTGGGGCGTAACTGGGGCTGGGCTTCAGCTGGAAGCAGTATTCTGGCTGAGTTCGGGACGCTGCACATGGAGTTTGTGCACCTGACGTATCTGACTGGAAACCCTGCCTACTATCAGAAGGTATGCTTGGGTGTATGAGTGCTGTGTAACTGTGTTCGGCCCTTGTGTTTGTGTCCTGTTGTGAACTCTGTTTGTGTTCTGGTTTAGGTGATGCACATACGGAAACTGCTGGCTAAGATGGACAGACCCAACGGGCTTTACCCCAACTACCTGAACCCACGCACAGGACGCTGGGGCCAGCGTGAGTACCTCCCACTAACATCCTCTCTGCTGCAAAACCAACTCTCACTTTCCACAAAAGGCGTTTCGTGAATTCTCACACTGTATGAAAAGAGGGTTACAGACACCCACAACATGAACTTGATGCTATGATAGATTTTAAAAAAAACACTCAACTGCTAGGTGAAATTATGCTTTATAAGTAGATGGAAGAATTTCCTATTAGCACTGAATAAAATAGAATTTTCTCTGGACTCTGTCCACCATGAATTTTGTTTCTATAAACTTTTTTCTGGGACTACTTTATCCATGAATGATTCATGAAATGCTGCCTTAGATTTGGCCCTAAACAACAGATGTAGACAGTTTTGCTGTGTATTGTCTGGAAAAGGCTTTTAGTCAGGAGCATGCAAGTGAAGGTCAAGTATGCTAATATACTAGACTTAAAGTGTATCCAATATATATTTATCTGTTGTCCTAGTCTGGTTCGCAATTTACTGTATGGCAACATTTTGTGTTAAGTGTTAAGCCTTATTTCAATAAATAATTTATAATTTGTTGAATAAATTATATTGAATTTATAATTTTGCCGTAATTTCTGGAAATCCATTACAGCTATATAAAGCAGAACAATTGTTTTGGTTCTCAAGAAACATTTGCTATTATAAATGTTGAAAACAGTGGTGCTGCTTAAGATTTTTGTGGAAACCATGATATATTTGTTCAGGATTCTTTAATGAATAGAAAGTTCAAAAGAACAGCATTTATTTGGGGGGGGGGGGGTGACCACGACCACGACCACGACCACAACCACAGACTTGAAAGATAGTGTATATGATTAACAAATGTAAGATATAGCGACAACTTGGCAATCTGAAACTCTCTCACTGGTTCCGGCCAGGCAGGCTGTTCTTATTTTTGAGCCCTGTTTCGGTATTCTTATCGTAAGAGGAGATTCAGATCCAAAATATCACTCTGCGAAGCCTGTTTATAGACACAGATGATTTTCATAATCTCTCTGATTTATTATTCTATAAATGTGAAATACGACAAGTGGCAGCTTATCCTCATCTCCTCTCTGATCAATGAGCTTTAATAAAGATGGGATGTGAGGAAGTTTCTTTCTTTATATGTAATTAGTAATTATGTGTAGTGAAAACACTCCACTGTGTTTTAACCAACTCTTAATTACTGAAAGAGATGAATGTTTAATTAGTGCCCTTCGTATAAAGGCTAAACCTGATCAACCCTCTGCGAGCAAATACTCTCTCTCTCTCTCTCTCTCTCGCTCTCTCTCTCTCTCTCTCTCTCTCTCTCTCTCTCTCACACACACACACACACACGCAAAGACTAAGTTCCAGAAAAGTGTGATTGTGTGTGTGTGTCCAAAGGGGTAGAATGTAATTAAGGTGCACTAGAGATCTATTTTCTAAATGAAAATTCGGAGTGAGTGACAGGCCATTACAGCAGAGTATTATTCCCTCTCCCACACCTCATCTGCCCTGAGGACCCTTAAAGTGACATTTCCCAAAAAATTATGTTCTCTTGTCATTTATTCTCCCTCATTTTATTTCAAATGACTTTCTTTTGTGTGTTGAGCGCCAAAGAAGTTCAGAAAAATGTTCAAGCTGCTATTTTCGATACAATTAATGTGAATTTGGATCGTGTATCACAAGCAGCTTGGACATTGTTCTAAACATCTCCTTTTGTGTCCATTCAAGTAGGATGGGTGAGTAAATGATGACAGAACATTCATTTTTGTGTGAACTACACCTTTAAAGTTCTCTCTCCACATCTCTACAGCTTCACCTCCAGGGGCCTTTAGGTTTTAGATCCACATCTCCTCCTCAACCCGTCATTCTCTATCCATGACCTGGCCACTTTTTGTCGGCCAAGCCTCTCTGTAGATATCTCCTGCCTGGATCTTTGATTGTTACTCAAATCCACCCTCCACCCGATCAGTCTTTCCACTGCCACAACTTTTCTTTTTTCCTATGTCTCACTGCACATCAGCCCACACCATCTATGTATTAATCATCACCTTAATCATTGATAGTGTTTATTATTTTATTATATTTATTATGATTTCTTCCACCTTTCTTTCTGTGCTGCTCGAACACATTCGTCTCTTTTTCTGTACCTTTTTTTCTCCATTCCTTTTGCTGTCTCTGAGCAGCTTGTTTTCCTCTCTCTGTCGTTTTCAACCTGTCAAGATTCTCACACTGTCGAGATCCACACATTCTCTCTGAACTGTTTCTTCTTATTCTTCACATTTTTCTAGCTCTATCCAGATATAGTTATTGGTATTGCGTGCAAAGGCAAAAAATCAATAAAATCTTAACCCAACTCATCCTGCACTGTTTGTCCCTGGGGCATAAATGATACATATGTTTTTTCTTTTTTTCTTTCTTTCATTTTTCAATTTAAGGAGACATCTGAGCCATATCTGGGGACAAGAGACCTGGGCTCTTTTGAATTGGCACTGTAAGCAGTGCCTTAGCAACCACAGAATACCTTGACAACCACATGGCAACACTCTTGGAATTACCTGCAGCATTGTTTCAGCAGCTTTTGCACTGACAGTTTCTGCAGAAAATGTAAAAAAAAGAATTCCCTTCATATTCAAACATGTCCCACCTCTTGCGGCAGGACAGACTATTAAGAGTTACTTACAAGTGGTCTGTGATTGGACATCAGTCTCTCTCTCACTTTCTCTTCAGTTTTTTCCCCTACCTCTCATTTTTCCTTTCTGTTGAATAATTCATCTCAGCTTCTACATCTTGCCTCTACTAGGTCAGTCCCTCGCATCCATTAGCATAAAATACATCTTTTACTTTGTCTCAGTGTCTCTGTAAAGGATCTCTCATAAAGTGTTTCAGCCTCCTGCCTTGTTGCTGCCTCGTTGATATCTTTAGCTCTCACTCACTTTTTAAACCAGCTATTGCAAGAGGCAATTTTTAGCCGTGTCACTTGCTTGTTCACACCTCTCTCTTGTAAAACATCACCTCTGCATCTGTTCTCCACCCACAGTCTCCTCTAAAGACCTTCCAAAATGGCTTTTGGCAGTTCATCTCCTAAACGTTTACCCTGCTAGCTCTCTCTCAGCAGGCTGAACGCAGAACAGCTCGCTAACCTTGGCAGATATGAGCTGTGACAGTGCTAATGGGCTCCTCCCTCACTCGTCCATGATGCTATATACAACAAGTGTACAGTATACACTCCTCTGCCTCCTGCACATATCACGCTTCCTGTTCTCATTTGGAGTGGTGTCCTGTCTGTTCTCTAGATGGGTTAACAAGCTTTCATGTAAATCTGGTCACTCAGAGAGAGAGAATGTATAGATAGCTAGACAGACAGACAGACAGATAGACATAGATATGCATACAAACAGACAGATATTAGGCAGACAAACAGATAAATAGACAGATGTAGACATGGATAGTCAGGCAAACTGATGGATGGATGGACAGATGGGTAGATATAGACATACAGAGACAGATATTAGACAGACAAACAGAAACATACACCGATATTATAAATAGAAAGACCAGTGGATGGATGGACATACAGGGACAAACATCATAGATAAACAGACATAGAATATAACAGATAGATAGATAGATAGATAGATAGATAGATAGATAGGCTGACAGATATAGATCGAAAGACTGGGTGAATGGATACAGATGTCATAGATGCAAACATATAACATGGATGGATGGATATATAGACAGATTAGATAGATGAATGGACAGACATGTAGACGTATAGACAGACAGATATAGATATATAACATGGATGGATGGATGAACCGATAGAGAGACAAAGAAACTGCTAGATAGATACAGACATAGACATAAGATAGATAGACTCGAACTCTGATTGCCCACATGAGCACCATAATTCAATATCCGCTAAACGCGAAGCCATGGCTCCAACCTAGTGCCTCTTTTTTTTTTTATATTCTATGTTTGTGTCCACGTCTTCAATATTTCTGTCTTAATTTCTACAGATCCCTCCAACAAGTCAACACAGATTGTTTACATGTTCTGTTGTAGGTTCCCATTACGATCCATTAGTGGCACAAATGACTCCCAGCCTGTCAAACACTCACACTTTACACACACTCACTCTGCAGAGTCATTAGCTGGGTCAAAGTGGAACACACTATGGCTGTGTTTATAAGTGATTAGGTGTGTGCTGGTGTGTGTCCATGCTGTATAAACACCCACGAAAACACGCTCACTTGCGCATTTTTATTGTAATGAGGGTCGGCGTCAAGCCTGAATACACTTTTATAGCAGCATTCAGGCACATTAAAAGACTGCGCTTTGAACAGAGTAACCAAAACTGAGCAAGCAGAATAAACAATAAGAATCATAGCAGGCTTTTCTTGGCTCCAGTTGCATTTTCACAAAATTAGGAGTTTAGAAGTATCTAATTAGGCCAGTTTTGTCATTTTGAAGAATTTATTAAGCTCGCTTTACTCGACTTAATAACTATTGGAGTTATTCTCTCTTTTTTCTTTATTTTTTCTTATCCTCAGTAACTAACATTCAACAAGCTACAGGACTTTTTATAATTAATGTCACAACCATGATTTGCAGTTATTTAGGATGGAGCGTTCTCATTCTAGAAAGTGTTTGATTGGACAGAACTCTATGTAGTGCCTGATGATTCCCCAGTATTTTATTATTTTTTTTTCTATTTTTCTGGACGAGAAAGACTAAATCACATGCACTACCTTTCAAAAGTTTGGAGTTGGTATAATTTTTGTATGTTTTTGAAAGAAGTCTCTTATGCTCACCAAGGCTGCATTTATGTGATCAAAAATACAGTAAAAACAGTAATATTGTGAAATATTATAATTTAAAAGATATGTAGTATAATATTTAATAAGATATATTTTAAAAGCCATGACTGGAGTCATTACTCCAGTCTTCATTGTCACATGATTCTTCAGAAATCATTCTAATATGCTTATTTTATGCTCAAGAAACATTTCTTCTTATTATTATTATTATTGTTTTTTAAAACTGTTGTGCTGCTTAATATTTTGTGGAAAGTGTGATGCATTTTCTTTCCGGATTCTTTAATAGACAGAACAGTATTTGTTTGAAATAGTAAAGCTGTTTACAGACAAACTACAAAACTTTGGATCAGTTTAATGTGTCCTTGCTGAATACAATTATTAATGTCTTTCTTACTGAAAATAGTAAGTGTATATATCTAAAAAAAATAGTAGTGTATATCTACTAAAAGTGAATATTGTGAAAAGTCATTCTCCCCTCCCCTCGGCTTATCTTGTTTCTCTCTCTCGCTCTGCAGATCACACCTCGGTAGGTGGGTTGGGTGATAGTTTCTATGAGTACCTGTTGAAGGCCTGGCTAATGTCTGATAAAACAGACACAGAGGCACGCAAGACCTATGATGATGCCATCGAGGTGAGGGCTGCTGGTTGCCATGGCAATTTGTGTGTTGTTTCGTGCTGCATCTTTCTCTCTCTCTTCCTACAGGCTATCGAGCGCCACCTCATCCGGAAGTCCAACGGTGGCCTTACTTTCATCGGGGAGTGGAAAAACGGCCACTTGGAGCGTAAGATGGGTCACCTGACTTGCTTTGCTGGGGGCATGTTTGCTCTGGGGGCTGATGGGTCGCCAGATGATAAAGCTGGACACTATCTGCAGCTCGGAGCTGAGATTGCACACACCTGCCACGAAAGCTACGATCGCACTGGTTAGTGTATAAGAGGGGACAAGAGAGAGATGAAGGGTATAAAAAAACGCATTCGATCTTTGGGCTCATTTGTAGCATGGTTTTGTTGCCATGGTAACACTACAGGTTATTTTCAGAGTATGGCGTTTCTATTTCACACAACTTGACTGAAAGACATTGATGGATTGCAGCTCAGCCACAACAAGCTCTCAGACAGATAGTTTCTTAGATAGTTTATAGCACCATGTGAGCCTAATACTAATAGTACTAAACGCATAAACCTTTTATTGTTTGCAGTGCTGAAGCTCGGTCCAGAGGCCTTTAAGTTCGACAGTGGGCTGGAGGCAGTGGCTGTGAGACAGAATGAGAAATACTATATCCTGAGGCCTGAGGTCATCGAGACGTACTGGTACATGTGGAGATTTACCCACGACCCCAAATACAGGCAGTGGGGCTGGGAAGCTGTGCAGGTCAGCATCTCTCCATTCATACAGATTTGTTCATTCGATTACTTTTTTTTTTTTTTTTTTTTTTTTTTTTTTTTTTTACTGTAATATGTATCATTTAAAAAATCACTGTAGAGATTCCAATGGAGATTGTGGTTAATTGGAAAATCCATTTTTACTGGATAATGAATATTGGTTTTTTTATTTTTTTTTTTTTTTTTTTTTTTTTTTTTTTTTTTTTTACTGTAATATGTATCATTTAAAAAATCACTGTAGAGATTCCAATGGAGATTGTGGTTAATTGGAAAATCCATTTTTACTGGATAATGAATATTGGATGAATATCAAATTTATCGAATATCCTCAGAAAGGAGTGCCTACAACTAAATATTGGATGTTTTATTGTAGAAACTGCTTTCCAAGATTTTAGATTACTTTTGCCATCATATAATAGCGATAGCAATGGATAACAGCAATGATTTAAACCTTTAAAAGCCCCTTTTAAGTGCGCTTTCCTATAATAAAGGTCCCATCTATATTCTCATGTCAACTCTTAAAATAAATAGTTATCCATATTTCATACTCTGCATTTACAAAGTTGGGATGCCTGTATTCAATAAACATCACAACAGTGTTTCAACGTTGGCAAAAACTGTTGAGGTTTTGGATTGTTTTGTTGTTATTTATTTCAAACATAATAATCCGATTTTTCAAATCTGCCATTTATCGGCTATCAGCCATAGCATGACAAAAATGATCACTTTATTTAGTTTCAGCCAGAACTTCAATATCAGTGTAAGAGAAGAGTCTTTTTTTTAAGTGGTGCCTGTGCAAAAATCACCAGCACAAAGCTAGGGCACAAGCAGCACAAACAGGAGTTTGACTCACTTCTCCCAGGACTGGTATCTCCAGGCATCAGAGTTCAGCCGGATATCAGAGACAGAATAAGGTCAGACGGTGTGTACGGCACAGGATGTTCTTAGTACCTAAACCCATATCTCACCACTTTGATATCCATCTGTAGTCCCAGTCGCTCGATCTGTGGCATCTTTTTGCTGCTCGTAGTAGTCATGTACCTCTCCAACCGTATCTGTTTATCACTGTTTTTTAGATTTATTCTTCCCTCTATTTTCATGTCACTCTTATTCCGGCGAGACCTGGGCTGTGTTTTTTAGGGAATGTGTTTGTCTTTTTGTTTTTAGAACAGTTTCAAAGTGCTCTTGAGAATGAAGTGTCATTGGTTTCTCTCTGATTGGGTGTCATTGTTCTGCCGGTACAGTACTGTTTCACTGCAATTGGGCTTCTTTTGATGAGCCGCTGGGTGCCTGGGCTCTTTCTTTCCTTCCCTCCCTCATTTTCACTCTTCCCTTTTCTGTAAAAGGAGAAAGAGAGCAGAATAGAGCTCACTTGTTCCCAGTCACCAAAATTCCTTCGGCTTTTTTTCTTCTTCTAATTTTATCATTTTCTGTCTCCAGCTCTCTCTGCACCTATTTCTTTCCAGGATCTCAGGGTCTCACCGTCTCTTCTCTTTGCGTTCCTATCACTGTTCTTCGTGTAGATAAATGGTATTGTGTTTATCTGTTTGGCGTCCACTCTTATCTCCAGGATCGGTTTAGAGTTTCTCACCAGTTCTCACCATATCTCATGTGAAGTAAGATGGTCAGTTGGAGGATAAATTAATGGCTTTGGTTGGTATTTTTCGAATTCATAACAGTTTGGTTATTTGAACTGCTATAGCATTCACAGATATGTTGTTTTATGGTGGAAATGATGTAATTATGTCTAGGAATGATATTAACATTCAGACTGAATTAGCTGATAACCAATAAATGGCTGATATAGATGGCTAAACCAAGACCTTTGGGCAAACTTTGTCTTGTGATAAGCTTTGATTTGGCCCAACATGCCATGGAAAGGGAAAAATTTGGGGCATATCGTCAATTCATCAATTAGATTAAAAGTAATTTTTAAACATTTTCTTATAATATAGTTTGATAGATTGCAAAATTAAATTTTGGCTCACAGCCCTCAATTAAATTAGATTTTTGAAGTTTGGGCATCTCTGATTTATATAAAAATAAATAAATAAAATCCTAAAAAACTCAAATCCATTGTTTTAAATGCTACAAGTACATTTAGGCTTCATAACATTAGAAGGTATAGTATGGAAAAAATGGAAATTCATTTTGAGATTTGCTAAAGATTATACTTAACAGTGTTATTAAGTTAGCCTTTTTAAAGATATTAGATGATGCAAAGGCAATCTAAATGGAAAGTAGAGGAAATGAAGCTGCAAGTCTTGAGTGAATCTCTGTTGAATAGGTTAATTGAAAGCTGGATCAGGCCAGCTGCTGTTGCGTTATAACCATGTGAGGTGAGTCCTCAGTGTTGCAGCTGTTTCAAGCAGTTCTGCTCCAGGTAGGTGAGCACATCATGCCATGTTTTCCTGGCACAGATGGCTTGCATCACTCCTGCCTGCAGAGGCTGGAACAGCACTAATGGAGCATTATTGGTTCTTGGAGAACAGGGCCAGAAAAATAGAGCGGCTTCATACATATTCTATTTTTGGCTTGTCATCATTACTGCGAGTACACAGTCATGCATTGATTTGATTTGCAGTCATAAAGTGGTGATTAGGACACTTGATATAGCACATACTGGGGGAAGTCGTGGCCTAATGGTTAGAGAGTCGGACTCGTAACCCAAAGGTTGCGGGTTCGAGTCTCATACCTGCAGGGATTGTAGGTGGGGGGAGTGTACAGGGCTCTCTCCCACCTTCGATACCACGACTGAGGTGCCCTTGAGCAAGGCACCGAACCCCCAACTGCTTCCCGGGCGCCGCAGCATAAATGGCTGCCCACTGCTCCGGGTGTGTGTTCACGGTGTGTGTGTGTTCACGGCTGTGTGTGTGCACTTATGATAGGATAAATGCAGAGCACTAATTCCTAGTATGGGTCACCACATGTCACGTCACTTTGTTACTTACTGCATAGATGATCTTTCTGGGCTAAAGCACAGGAAATGGTACATCTGGAACTGAGCTAGCCTGAGTTACTCACCAGTTGGATGGTAACTTTATTAGAAACTGCAAGATATTATATGGTTTAATCGAATTTAAGCACAATAGTCTGGCCCTCACTGATGTAAGATATGCGCATAATTCAAATCAAAGACATAGTCATGATTCAAGCATTTTTTAACAACCATCAAACGTTCATCTAAGGTGCAGGGATTTTCTTATTTTCTCCAGAACATCACGTTTGTGAAGATATTTCTCACATTAAGCCGCTATAATGAATATATTAAGAACGAAAACATGTTTTACCAAATGGACCTTCACTATTTTTCACAAATTTGCAAGAAATAGTCAATTCAGTTGAAAAAGCCAAACAAAATAAACAATGTAGTTGTCATGGGGACAATATGTTGTTGTTATTATTATTATATATGTGATATTATATATACACTACCGTTCAAAGGTTTGGGGGTTGGTATGTTTTTTTTTTTAATGTTTTTGAAAAATATACAGTAAAAACAGTAATATCGTGAAATATTATTACAATTAAAATAACAGTTTTCTCTTTGAATATATTTTAAAATGTAATTTATTCCAGTGATGGCAAAGCTGAATTTTCAGCATCATTACTCCAGTCTTCAGTGTCACATGATCCTTCAGAAATCATTCTGATATGCTGATTTGGTGCTCAAGAAGCATTTCTAATTATTATCAATGCTGAAAACAGTTGTGCTGCTTAATTTATTTTATGCATCCTTGCTGAATAAGTATTCATTTCTTTCCAAAAAAAAAAAAGAACGAAAGCTCTTACTGACTCCAGACTTTCTCTGTATTTTCTGCAGGCTATAGATAAATATTGCCGAGTAAGTGGAGGATTCTCTGGTGTTAAAGATGTCTACTCCTCCAACCCCACCTACGATGACGTCCAGCAAAGCTTCTTCCTGGCTGAAACGCTCAAGTAAAAATAATTTCATTTACTAAAATACAATGTGCTGAAGCTCTGTTGCTATTGTAACACAAACCGTTTCAGTTCATTATGCTAATACACATTATTATTGAATATAAAACAATGTAATAATCCTCAGTTATTACTGTAATGATTAACATACCTATGCAACACATGGCTACACCTGTGAAAAACAGTGACTCTCAGCTAAACAACGTGGGATTTGCAAAGTACATTGGAGTGGAAAGACAGACAGCCATTACTGCCGCCTGCTGGTGTCATTGAAACACTGCAGTTTCCCATCACCAGATGTGTTTGAATTAGATGCATCAGATCCATGACCCAGTTTGGTATTAGTATCAACTTAAATGTATGAACCTTGTGTGTGTTTTTGTAGGTATCTCTATCTACTTTTCTCCAGCGATGAGCTGCTGCCTCTTGAGAACTGGGTGTTCAACACGGAGGCCCACCCTCTGCCCGTCCTGCACCTGGGCAACATCACCCTGCCTGGCAGCGAGACCCAGCGGTAAAGCGGACTCACCGGGGGGGCGTCCTCCCCCTCGCTTGCCCCTTTTCTATACGCCTCCCTCCTTGTGAAAGACAGAAGCTGCCAGTGCAAAGGAGAGGAGAGAACTGTACCCACCAACCACTGTCTCGTCCCGGTCTGTGAATCAAGGGACTGCAGTGAACGGATGGGACCAGAACAGACCGAACTCTCTTTATCTATGTCTCTCTCATATATTCTCTGAAGGACAGACTGCTGGATTAATCGTGTGTCTCTCTCTTGTGGCCGCTGGCCTGACATGTCCGTACACACTGTACACGCATTAGCGGACTAAATGACCTTCTGAAATGGAAGTGTGTTTCTCACTTGGGGAAGGATTTTAACAAGTAAATTCGTTCTTTTTTTTCCCTCTCTCTCCAATTTGGCGGCATTTCATATCATCGGCTGAGTGCTAAACCACTTCAAAATGATGGATTAATGGTTCTCTGACCAGACCGCCTTCAGAGTCTTTCTCTTTCTGAGCTGGGCTCCTGGAGATGCCAGATGTTGGATGTGACCTCCTGTGAAATCTTTCTCCAGCTGAGGCTGAATTTAGGCCAGAGGCCCCCAGGAATGTTCTTTTCTCCATAATTTCTCTAGATCTACAGTATCTACGATGTCTTTGTAAAGGTTAGCGGGTAAAAACAGACACATGCTGCTAATCGAACAGTTGCTGCCTGTGACACAGTCACCACCGTCATTCCAGAAACCTACGTTGTTCCATTCCCATCTTTTTTTTCTTTTTTTCCATCCATTGTGAATGCCCAGAATGTAATTCATACTGCATTCTGAAACATGGATGGGGCTGATGGTTGATTTTGCAACACAATGAATCAACGCTTGAAGTAACTGTAACTTGTGGGTAGGAGTCGCAGTGCTTTAGATGCCATTACCATTTGTTTTCATTTGTCGATTGTGCTGCTCTGTTAGACCAGACCAGATTCTTTCAACAGCCAAGATTTACCACTAATTGTAGCCAACAAGGTAGAGATTTTAGGTAGCCCTTTACAAGACACCCAGAGTAAATAAACACAAAAAAACAGTGCAAGGATTTTGAATACAATTGCATAACAACTAAACCTGTGATGTGTATGATGTTTTAGACTTGGGAATACTCCTGAACTGAGGTCAAAGACTTTTTTTTTGTCATTCCAGTTTCTGGATGCTTTCATTAGTCAAATGCATACCTCTGAATATTTCATGTGAGTTTTATATTTCACATGACTTATTCAGTCCTGGGCTGTAAACACTCTGGATGTCCCTGGACATGTTTTCTGAAACACGGTGATGGCAGACAGAGAAACAGATTTCTGATATCAGATGATTAAACACAACCTGCAGCCAACATTGAAGTATTTTCTTTGATTTTATTTATTCATGTTTTGGTTTAATTGACCTTTAATGAATATTGATTCAGTCTCTTTGGAAGATGTGCTCAGCCTTATGCTCTCAGACTCGTGTAAAATGGCTCATCCTCAGAAAAGTTCATGTAGTTAACCAGAGAAGGAAAAGCTAATTATTTTCTCATCTTGGGTAATGAAGAAACTGAGAATCAGTCTGTCAAAAAGACTTGAGGATCATTGATGGGATGCTGGGTGTCATCAATCAGCTCCCTTAATGGTCTGTCCTTTCAGTTCCTGTTTCTAAACCTCTCATCCCAGTCTGAGGGAGATGTGTCCTCTCCTCCCCTCTAGATGGCAGCAGCGGTGTCCGGCTGCTCCTGTACCTGTCATTTCTCTTCTTTTCTTTTCTCCCAGTAACATGACTGACTAATGGTGAGTGAAGCCCAGGCCAACACTCTTCCCTGTTGTTGCTGGGTGAGTTTTAACAAAGCTGTGTTCTGTATTTGTATTTTTACTGAACTGAACAAAAAAACACAATAATTGTAAATATGTTTAAAATGCCACACAAATTCAATAAAGATGAAAAAAGTGAAAGGAATAAAACAAAACAAGCTTTTATTGTCAAGTCTTTTCTCGCCGATTCATATAAAAGACTTGCAGTGGATTTTATAGATCAGTTTCATAGTTTCTCACAGTCATTGAAGACCTAGAGAGATCAGACCTAGAGATTCTTAGCACATAGATGGAATCTAGCTACAGCATGTACATTTCAATTATTTCAGTAATACTATTATTGATAGAGGCTTTTATCTATTTTAAGGCCTTCATGCTCCTTTACTCTTGGCAGCACACATTGATATTATAGGTCATGGTGAACTGGTCCTGGCACATTACCCCGCTCTCAGTATACACGTCATCACCATTGCAAACAGTATTTCACACTTGTGAGCTTGTTATTCTCTCTTTAGCAGAAGCAGCAGATTTGAGGGCAAAAATGAGGAATGTCCTTTTTTTTTTTTTTTAAGCTGTCCTCTGACATTGAGCTGTCTAGACCAGTGGTTCCCAACCCTGGTCCTGAAGGCACCCCAACACCGCACGTTTTGCATGTCTCCTTAATCAAACACACCTTATTCAGGTCATCATCTCATTAGTAGAGACTCCAAGACCTGAAACTGGAGTGTCAGAGAAAGGAGACATGCAAAATGTGCAGTGTTGGGGTGCCTCAAGGACCAGGGTTGGGAACCACTGGTCTAGACTGACCGCAGTATGACAGGACAGGATGGATGGATGGCAAAAGCAGGAGGCAGAGGTCATGAGCCGGGTGTCATTTGCCCTCTTTCAACAACCCTAGTGACACAATGTGACCCTGCCGTATCATCTGCTGAACTATGACGGATTTATCCTTCCACGCATACACTCAGGTCCAAAACTCTATGGAAATGCTTGTATTTTACATTTTCCTAATTGAATACAAATTTTTTTGTTTAGTTTTCATAAACTCCACAAGTGCAAAACCTGATGATCATGTTCTCCAGCATGATTTGAGAACGATCCAAAGAGTATCTTGTGCGTCAGCGGAAGCAAGAACAAATGTTGAATCTTACGTACAGAATGGGTTTCATCATGTCTCGTTTAGGGTCAACTTAGGCTACAGAGTCAATTGTTGCTCTGTGGAAAGCAGTGAGCGATAAGCTGGAGAAACTGGCATGTTGCAAGTGTGCACCACAAAACAAAACAAAAAAAGCTCCAAGGTCACTGTGAACCAGGTAGGTCAGTTGGCAGCTTCTACTAATGATAGCCAACCGATTACACACGCAGATAGAGGGGGTACCGAGAGCTCCAGTGCCACTGGTTCATGAGAGATTTGACTTTCAGAAGAGCATATGGAGCACCAGTTATTTTAAGCAACTGTATGTTGTAAGTTTTCTGACTTGAAATATAACTTTCAGAATCATTCTGATAATACACTGACTTTTAATAGGGCAAATGGCTTCTGTTGCTTTCCCACACTCCATTCAAACATCTGTTCTGGAATGAAAGTTTAGTGGGCAGGACAGCAGGTACGAAATACTGCCAAATGTCCAAAGTCACAAAACTACATCCAATTGCTTTCATTTCCAGTACTCTTACTTTTTACATACCCCCTTGCTGAAAAAGAATAGTTATCTATTTTCAAGAGAAATAGAATAACAGGGGCCATTGAAACTGCATTTTGTCATTGGTACGTCATCCTGTTGGTTAGTTTACGTGCTCCTGTATCTGCTCGAGTTTGTGGCTGTTTGTATTCTTCAGGTTAGCAAAACGGAACTGTGAAAACAAAGGATCTTATTCCTTCAAGCAAATAATATGCTAGTCTAAGGCTGTCAAATTGAACGTGACGCTATGTTGCATATTTCAAATATCTTTACAAATATTTCTCCCATGGGCATGTTGTATTTCTGTGGTATTAAACACATTTGAAAATTCAAATTACAACATGGCCACAGCCATATTTGTCATATGCCAATATTATTCCTGCATGATAAGCTACCTAAGAAGATATTTGTTGTCTAATGTCTGATCTGACCTTTTCAGCACTGTTAGTATAAAGTTCTAACAATCATGATGAGCCTTAAAGTGTGTAATAGTTCTAAACTGATTTTGCTTCAGCATTCAGATTTCAATTGGACAAGTGGCAACCCAACACAGTGCCAAAATATTGTACAATTTAATGAAATGTAATAAAAATTGGTAAAAGTCTGTCATATTTGCAAAAGTATTTAAATGTTGAATTATTAATTCATAAATATCATTACGTTTTTGTGGAGTTGCACCACATGATACTGTCTTTACAACCTGAAATAATCTTGTCTTGTCATAATGTCAAATTTTCTGATCATTTAAGAGACTTATTAACCTTGACACAGTTATGATGGTCTACAGGGGTTCTTGCTGTGATATCATTTCCTGTTTTGCGTGTGTGTGTGTGTGTGTGTGTGTGTGTGTGTTTCTTTTCCAGACCTCATGCCAAACTACTTAAGGTTTTCTTTACAAGAATTTCATTCTTCTTTTTAGGTGTCATTTATTTATTACTTGCATTTTAATATATTTTTGAATAAATTCATACTCTGGGCAAAAAATGAATGTCATGTCATTGAGCCATCGGCCTGAGTTAATAGAAACAATTTCCACAAAAAATGACAGGTCTGTCATAATATGCTCACTCTCAAGTACTTCCAAACCTGTATGACCTGTATTTTTTTCTATGGAAATGTCACCCCCCCCCCCCCCCCCCCCCTCCTCATTCTATGCATTGGAAGTCAATGTGCACCAAAACTGCTTAGTTACATCATTCTTCAAAATATATTTTGTGTTCTGCAGAAGAAATGAAGTCATACAGATTTGGATTGACATGAGTAAATGGTGACAATATTTTCGAGTGAACTTTCCCTTTAGCTACTGTAGCTTCTGACAGATACATTTGTCCAGCAGTTGAGAGCCAGTGCTCCATCCATCCCTTTGGTATTAACCAGACCTCTCTTCCGAGGACGCATGAGACCTTCTGCATCGTGTTTTTGTTTTTCAGGAGCTCTGAATTTTAATCAATAGATCCCCGAGGGTTGCTGATGTCACAGGAAAGAGATTATGAATGTCACCATGAGTCATCGGACTGATAGACGGGAAAAAAACAATTGCGTGGATGTCTGTAAACGTAGTGGAGTGTTTAATGTGTTAATGGCCTGTATGTGCGTGTGCGCGCCTCCTTCAGTGTGTTTAATGTGTTAATGTCCACCGGTTAATCATCCATAGCATGGACAGTGAGTCATTTTCACTTGGCGCTGAGCCCAGCTGCAGCAGGTGGCATTGCTACTCCTCAAACTGTATGGCATTCACCTTTGAACAACACTGCTTAATGCTTAATTTCTACTCGATTCAGTGCTCTCTGTGAAGTTTATTTATTCTATCAGGTCCATCTGTGAAAGAAAATGCTTCATAAGACTTCATGTATTGCAAGATGTTTCTCAAAGACATTAACCGTGCTGTTTGGTGCTGTTTATGTGATTGATGCTATAAAAAATTTATTCAACTATTAATTAGTCTTAGGTGTGACTTTCTTCTGAGCTCCATGTGATGTTGTTGGCAAACATTTGTGATAGAGCTCTAGGGTTGTTGAAAGAGGGCAAATGACACCTGGCTCATGACCTCTACCGCCTCCTTTCGCCATCTCTCTTTTTTTTTCTTGTGGTTATTACTCATGACAAGTTCTTTAAAAAAATCCAACTAAGAAAACGTTTACTATCCAGTTTGGGCAGTAATAATCCAGATGCTCTTATTTTGTACATACTGACATAAATCACTTTCCTTCACTTAAGTAGCACATCTTTCATGCTTCGTCCTCATTTTAATATGTAAATGCATCATCCTTTTTGGAAACTTTACCTTGCTGTCAAGACTGGAAATGTAATCAAATGTTTAAAATGTGGTGCAATTATTCCCTAAAACAATGTTTAATGTTGATTGTTGTGTGTGTATGAATCCGCGTGGGAATGAGGCTCCCATCATAAATGTCAGCGGCTCGGGGAATAGCATCTTGTCTGTATTTTTTCTTATCTCATATAATTATCTGCACGTCCTCACCATTGACGTCATGTTAGATTAACACAAAACTGTTAGGACAGTCCCTCAGATCCAGTTTCTAATTCTCTCTCTGTTGCTGTCTCATTCTCTCTTTCTCTTTTCTCTGCCATTCACAAAATTCATTGTGGTTCAGAGACCCAGCACACAAAACTGGAGTTTCCTCACATGCTACTGAGCAATCATTTCCTGTTTCGCTTTCTCATGTAATTTATACCCACATCATTGCTAAGAAAAGATTCAGAAGGGACCTACAGACCGGAATATCCCTCCCTCATATTTCCTCTGGAGGCTGCACTAGGTCTGTTGATTTACTCGGCAGCATCAGCGATATGCTGTATGTGCTGATGTTGTGTTTTCCCCAGTCATGCTTATTCTTACTCCCTCAAACTCACCATCCACAATTTCACTGACACTCACCACAGCGTGGCCCATTCTTTATAGACTCAGTGTAAATGTATGTAATAATTATTTGAGTTTCTCATAGATCCAGCTTTTCAAAACACAAATATGAATTAGTGTCTGTTTTTCTCTGTTATGAAGGACACAGCCTACAAAAGAGCATTTGTGTGGGGGTATGTTTTTGAGGGCCACATTTTTAAAAATGTCCTCACAAATATAGTGAACCCATGTTCAGAATGATTTTAGAAAAGGTCCTCACAATATCAAAGGATCATAAATTGTTTTGCTGGTACTTTACTGATACTACTGTACTGATGTGAACAGTTCTATCACCTTGTGAGGGTTAGTACTTATCATCACTATGCATATGTGAATATTTCTGCAGTATTACCTACCTGACTACATTCTTGAATATTTTAACACTTCATATATAGAAATGAAAGTCAGCTAGATGCAGCAGAATTTTAAGAGAAATACACAGATGCTTTTGTTACAAATGCACGT